ATTTGATATAACTAAAGCTTTAAAAATAAGTTGAATTACTTTAATGATCACTCAAAAGAGAAGTATATATTATTTCATACTCAATGTCTCTTCTTATTTGAATGGATAAAAATCAGTCATTTAAACACATGAATAACTAAAATTAGTATTTTGCTAGAGAAATATTCCATTTCTCCGCAGAATGCTGTTAACACACGCGAATGCAATAATGAATAACTGGTAGAAATCAAAAATTGCGAAATGTTTCATGAGTGAAATTGTTTAAATTAATCCAATAAAATGCATGTTTCCAATTTAAAGCTAACTTCATTCGATAAAAAAATTAATATAGTGTGTCTATATAAATATTTTATTAAAAAAGTTATCGAAGCAAGAAAATTACACTGCCTTTCAATTTCTCTACTTGAATAAATTTTCAACTTCATTTCTAAGATATTCACTTACACTATTATAAATGTGTTAAATATAATATTATTGAAACTGAAAAGATTGCTTTTCAGTGTAAATTTACTGTTTAAATTTGTTTTTATAATTCCTAGTAAAATATATCAGGACATAAGGTTCTCTTCCCACACTTTTCAGCTTATCTTCTATGATAAATATACATACTTTCTTGAAAAGGTAAATTACATCAACGGATAATGCGAGACTCCCAATGATTATTAAAACAAAAGTAGGTAATAAGGAAACTCAAATATTGATATTAATAATTACCCAACATTTTCTCCCTAAATCTAGTAACTTCACTGTATTTACATTTGTTCTTCATAATTTTCTAAAGAGTAAGAACAAATAATTTGCATATGATTATGTATGTTATTCGAAGAATTTTGAAAGCAGGGTGACAGGATGCAAGAACTGCATGATTACCTTCTTAGTAAGTTCCTAGTGTTAAATATTTAAATGCGTAAGAGTTAATTATTTTTTAAAGATAAAGGACTTTTTAATAAGTCATCTTATCTTTGGAGAGGCAAGTTCTTTGAATCCTTATTTTAAATCCTTTGTCGTATTTACTTAGGTTCCATTACAAATAACGTGGAAAATCAATTATCTTAATCTAACTTTACCCTCGAATGCTTATTATTTATTTAGTAAGGATTAGAATACTATATTCAGTTTACCATCTGAATGTGATATTCTGGATTCTAGGAATGTAAACTTCAGTTTACCTATATGTTGTTGCTTTACAGAAAATAACATCTTATTTTGTTATGCTTTTCTTTCTAAAATTTAGTATGGTAAAGCGGGTATTCTGGTAAATGAAATAACATTGGGACAGGAAAGAGACTTATTGTCGTACTATGTAGGATAAGTACACTATTTAAATACTAACTAGACTAGATCGGTAATTATCATATACATAAACTGCATGTCTATCACTAATTATAACAGCCACGTCTAACTGAGCATTTTATTGTAAGCCTGCATCCACTATACCACTGATATCTCTGAAAACAGATATTTATCAGTATGGCCACAGCTATCGTTTTATTCTTATTTAAAGGCAGTTTTGGATAAATGGGAAGATACTAATATTCTCTTTTTCAGAAAACTGAAGATAAAGTACTCACCTATAATTTTATTTCTTAAACGTTATATTAACATATAAGGAGAGTCTTATTTTATCGAAAATGATTGTGATTCCATTTACTTGAACTATTATAGGATTTTAAGTATATTAACCACTTGCCATTTTACTTTTGCTGTCATTTCTAATTTCGTCAGCTCCCACTAGGAATCAAACTATCGTAAACCAAGCATCATATTATTGTAACAAATAGGTGGACTTTGCCTTATAAACAGCCTATTTTAATTACATTTTACTCTTTGTTCTATTAATCTGCATCAGAAGAGTCGTTTGTTATTATACGAACTGGTTAGATTGTTAGGCTGAACATGTAATAAAAAGGTTAAATTTAAACATTCTTCTGTGTCCGGGATTATTTCACTGTAAAATTAAGATGGGACGAAACGTCGCCTGACTGTATACACGGAGCCGGAGGTAACGTACTGGAACTAACGTGAATAATTATGTTTACTTAAGATAATGTAACCTTTAGGTTAGCGTCTGCAAGGTTGCAAGATGAAGAAATGCCAGCAATACAGATGGGAGATTTCGGGTACATCATAGATGCGATGCGAGCTTCAATGAACCAAGCGTCATTTCTGACAATAGCAGTTTTATGAGAAGTTTATGGACAAGTTAGAAAACCACTAATCTAATTAGTGAGACAGAAGGTTACCATAAAAAATTCCATTTCGAAAGCTAAGGCCTTGAAATAGTTCCAGGCAATAGGGGAAAGGTTTTAGACTAAAAGGACAGCGAGACGTTTTATATTCTTAAGATTACGTTATTTACGGCATTTACTGAAGTAAAGGATACGGTTGGTCGGAATTGGGATTGTTCGGAAAATAGCAGGTGATTGTGGAAAAACTAACGGGATTTTTGTAGCGGAATGTTGAAACTGTCGAATTATTTGTACGAAGGAAATATTGAAGTCAAACAGATGATAGTGCCGAGGTTGCTACTCCATGTAGTATGATTTCTTCTAAGTGAGGAATCTCAGTATCTGGGAAGATTGCTTGATTTAGCTGTGACATATAAAAGCCGTAAAACGGTCGAAAATACTTCTACATGGCAACATGGTGATAGGTTCTTCGGTAGCTACAGTAATAAATTTGGTGTAAGAAATGACTGTAGGTTTTTAGGCAGAACTAGATATGTATACCAGGAAAATAACTGGTTTAGAAAGAAAAGCAGACAGAAAGTGGGCGTAAGAAAGTGCTTTGACAGAAAGGTTTAGTTTAGTTTATTTGATCATGGCAAAACACACAATAGCCTAAAGAGATAGATAGCTTCATGGAGGGCTTTCTAACTCGGGGCAGGTGGACTCAAACGCAAAGGGCAAAACAGGTACTGAAAATAGTAAAGCTAGTCATTTGAACTATGAAGCCATGCTGAGGCTCAAAGAGACCAGCCACCTCAAAATATGCAATACTTTACAATTCAGAGTAATCTAATTGTATCTAAAATATTCAAGATCCTCAGCTTATATACTCTACTCTCTAATTTGAATCCTGTTGAGGACTATATTTTTTATATGTTGTCCAGGTACCTATACTTATAATTAGAAAAATGTTACACACTTATAAAACATAAAATTCAAAAGGTTCTGTATGTTTTTATTTCCATACTCCAAAATTTGGCCAAGCTACTTTATTTTAAAATTTGCGACTTTTAAGGATTTTACAGCGCCGGAAAATCAAATATATTGCTCTGCTTGAGGTGTCAGTTAAAAAATAAACCAGGTAGTTGTTTCAGCTTCCATTTAAAGTCATTCATTGATATTACTTTGTGATTTACTAATGTGTAACGTTCTTTCATTTGTAATTTTTATATTAATAAATGTTTGGTGTGGGTTATGGAATGAATCGCTAATTAGTCCATACGGTTTATGGAACTTTAACTGGAAATAAGTACTCATAAATTTAATTAAAAATATTAAATGGGCACTGTCTGTCTTCTTAGAAGAAAATGTCTCTATGGAAAGATTTGCCAGCTGCGTGGCTTCACTCTAAATGGGGCTCCAGGCACATAAATCCACAAGGCCTGGCAATTATTTTAGAAATATATTTCGAACAAATATTATGGGATACACAGGCCCCGTGGTATGGCTACCACGATCATCTGACTGAAACTTTAGACTTTTTGCCTTTTGTGATACAAAGTTTATGAAAATGAATCAACAACAAAAAAAAGTCGTGTAGACCTGCTTAGTCTTACACTAGCTGCGAATGCATATATAATACCAGTTATATGAAAGGAGTTCGACAACACGTATTTTATGGACATAATTGTATATTGGAACTGATAACAGACATTTTGAAAAAATATACGCAAAAATAATTTAGTGAAACCTGTTCTTCGTCTTAGAATTTCTCGTTTCATAATTTGCTTTTGAATTATAAGGATATTTGATTTTCTTAATATTGGCATGAACTTTACTTTTCATTTTCACGAATTATTTATTTGTTTTCTGGTTTTGTTATTGCATAGTATGAGCCGTCTTGCATATTGCAATTTTTTTGTTTCACTTTTGTTGTTATCGCTAAGGTTATAAGATGGTAGTTGTGTAGAAATTACTTTAAAGTTCTTCCGAAATCATTAGATTGGCAAGTCTCAGTCTAAAGCAATATGAAAAACTCTTAATCTTTTCACAGAGGAGTCGGCCCTATCGTCCGTTTATTTAGACATCATCTGGTAGCCCGAACGCTTGCATACGATTTCATAGATATAAGCATAGAGATGATGGAACGTATAAAATGTTAGATATCGTAATATTCATAAAATGTCTTTTTTAATTTAAAAATTTTAAAACATGAGTATTTTGATTCATTTAAAACATTTCTTTTTATTGAAAATATGTGTCTATGACCAGCCATTTAGAAAATAAAGGCCTGGTAAGGTCTTTTGTGGGCACGGTGTATATACGTATATATTTAGAGCATAAGTATGAATCTTTGCCTTGCAAGAAATTAATATTTTCCTTAAATATTTCAGAATACAATTGTTAAATACTACCTTTTCGTTAGTCCTTTAGAGAGTATATTTCTCGTGTATTAATTAAGAACGTTCGAATGTTTTAAACGTACTTTATATGCAGTAAGTCGTCTCTTATCGTTTTAAGTAACACTCAATTTATATAAATAGCTTTTAAGCAGTAAAACTAACATTACAGTATTGCACAAGTCAGTAAAACAAATTTCCGTTTTTCTAAATGGCATTCGAGCACTAAATGTCGTGTTATTTTGTATAGTATTTCTATGAGTGTTTTTGCCCATGAATAAAAAGATACATTATTTTAAAATATAAATTTTTCTCAATGTATTATTATATTGTATAAACAACCCCCCCCCCAGAAAATCAGAATTTGATGCATCTAAAATAGAAAAAAATGGCTAGCGATCGAAAGATGGACAATCAATGTTTTTACTCGTACCTGCGCACCTATTTTCTGCTGTATGAAAACCAGAATTTTGCTGGTTATACCTAAACAGAGTTTTTTCAGCTCTCATTGTAAGCATTCTGTACAGTGTTGTTGTGCACTTGATGCGTAGCTCGTCGCTTTTGAAGTGGTGATGTTCAACCCGCATTCGTAATCCTAAACTAGATACTTCTGTGCCGTCTGAATAACGTATTGTTGGATACTTTATCAAATGCTCCCTTTTTGCCTGAAAGTAAAGAAAAAGTTCTTAAATATTCAAAGAATTAAATGTAAAACATTTCTATTTACAATATACATTCATGTCAAATAACTGTTCATTTTTATCTTTTGAGTATACAGGAAATTAGTAATGATATTGTAACAATATTCATGGAATGTTAGAGAAACAGTGCAACAGCACGAACATTCTATCACACTACTACTATGGAAATTCCTGGTATGCATATGAATTTTATTAGCTAATGATTTTGCTTAAATATAAAACTTTTGTTCGCGTATAAATTACTGTTCTCATCTTTCTTCTATTCAATGAATATTTCAAGTACGTTTAACATACTTCATCCAAAGCCGCCTAGATAGTATGGTAGTTAAGGGAGCTTACTGAGATACTGAAGGGCCTGGGCTCGAATCCCGGAGAAGGCATGCCTGTAATTGTCGGTCCTTTTATAGGCGGTAACATTGGTCCACATACCAGGTGCTTCCACAATGAAGCGAGCACTACTTCCAACCTTAGTAGCGGCCAAGCTTAAGTCGGCTAAGTGCCCACTAATGGAGAAAAGAGCCCTTCATCCTCCCTCAGAATAATCGTTTAATAATACTTGATGCAGAAAATGAAACTCATTTAAAATTTAAAATTAGTCACAGCGTTGAGAGTGACGCTGAGCAAGTTTCAGAGTGTAAATTTTATTCTAAGAATTTATGCAAATTGTTGCAGTTTCCAATAAACTACATAACCAGAGAGCATGATAAAGGGAGAGATTTCTCTATTAAGCTAACGAATTCTCATGAAAAGGATAAGTGTGTTGCAACCATTTTCTGTGCCACTATAAATATCACGATGAAACTTCCATTAGCATAAATATAAAGGATTAGTTCGAAATATAAATTTTAAGAAGATGTAAATTTCAAGGAATGGCACACAGAATGTTTTCAGTAAATATATGTAATTGCTAGTTTAATCATAATCATAGGTACATCAAGTTGGTCTCTGAGTCGTATTTCAGCTTAAACTTAAGAAGATGGAAAAGGGAATAAATCTAAAGACAGTGGTTAGAAATAGAAATGGAGTTTATCATAGCGGAACTGTAATGTCAAGACAAATACATCAACTTTTCTGATATCAGGCAACCACTGTTCACAGCAGGAAATGTTTCGCAGGTTACCTGAAAGCATATAAATTTTACAATATCAAAGCACAAAACTTCTAGTGGGTTATCTGAGGAACATTTTGCAGTCAAGCTGTTCTTTGTGTAAACTGCTACTAATATCTAACAGTGTTCATAAATTTGCAGTGGTGTCGCGTCAGAGCTATCTGAAGTGATGAATGAGACTAAGGATACTGAGACTAAGGCTTCTTTTGATTGTAAAATAATCACCGGCTGAAAAGTTTACAGAAAGCAAGTCTGTAATTATAATAAGTAATGCTTCTGGAATTGTCGAAAGTCATGCAAGTAGTCATCTTTGAGTTAGATTTGGGGTACCATTAGAATAACCAATCTCTCACCTTCAGCTGTTATGTAAGCAAATGTTTCATTTGTTTTACTAATCAGATCAGCAACATAAATGAATTCAAAACTTTACTACCTAGGTAGCAAGCTCACGAAGATTGCATTTTACTAGTTAGAAACTGATCTCCGTAAGGGTAAGAAAAACTTATGCAAATTTCTGTTTTTTTCTTCTAAAATAGCGGCGAGAGATTGTGCGGAAAATATTTTGGGGCACGCTATTAATTATTTTCGTGTATAATATAACTGGTAAAATTAAATAGAGATGAATACTTCTAAAATGTAATGAGGTGGGATGTTTCATTTCATTACTTGACCTGATAGTACGAAGTAAGCTTTTTGTTAAGTAATTGTTCACATTGTCATGAGAAAGAATAAATTATACCACAGTCAAAATCGTAAAAACAGCCTTGTATTTAGCGTAGGTATAATGAAACACTCAATCGATTTCGAGGGCAGCTAAAGGTCCCTCCTCATCAGGAGAAAGAAATACTTAGAAAGAAGAAAAATAAAGGAGTCACAGAAACACGTGGTCCTTATCAGCACTGCACGTGGTTATAACTAACTGTAAACGTTAACCCTATCGTTAATATCTCCAATAGGAATCTTTCGGAGGATCAGTTAAAAGTATTAAAATATAATTTCAACTTTTCAAAGACATCAAAACCTTCAATTTCTCAAATCATCGCCCCTATAGAGAAAGCCTTTAAATTCTCCAAAATTTTCGGAAACGCAGAAGGATACAATCCGTCACCTAATTACTCATAACGTTAATTTTAACAACAAATCTATGGGTTCGAATCTTAGCAAAAAGGAAAATGAGATCTTACGTGAAATTCATTCTGATACTAATATCATTATCTCTAAAGCTGATAAGGGCGGACAGATCGTCGTTATGGACAAACACACATATATTACTGGAGTCTCTAAACTGATAAATGAAGGCCCATACTGCTCGATTCCTAAGAGATACTTCAACTTCGGACCTCACGAAAGTAAAAAGTGCTATTAAATCTTCCCACATTCTGCCAACTCAGTTGAAGAAATCACTTATTCCACCTATTACTAATTGCGCTAGACTTTATGCTCTTCCAAAAGTCCACAAAACTGGTATTCCTTTACGACCAATTGTTTCCAACATAGGTACTGCTTCATATCCTTTGGCCAAATGTTTCCAGATTTTCTCCTCTACTTCCTAACAATATTCACACTGTAAAAAATTCTGTTGAAGTCATTGATAAACTTAAAAATATTTCTCCACTTCGTTTCATTATGGTTTCATTTGATGTCAAATCTCTGTTTACTAATGTTCCGGTCGAAGGAGCACTAAAAGGTCTTGAAACTAGGCTTCGGGAATTTCACTTCACACATACTGAAAATAATGAGTTGGTTTCGCTTACTAAAGTTTCTCTAAGTCAAACCCACTTTGTTTTCCAAAATGCATATTGTTTCGGCCACCAGAGCTCTCTGCCTGTCTGTGAGATATTATTTCGCAATGCGCAGATTGTATGCGTAGCTCGCATTTTGTTCTCGCATTCTTAAAACCGCTCATTGTAACTCTGTCGTTTTACTTTGTGCTGTGTGGTGTGTTCGAAAGTTCAAACCGCCGAATAAAGGTTAATTTTACAGTCCACTCGCAGTGATGTATTCTTAGGTTTATTAAATTAAAGTTAAGATACCGCTTCGCTACATTATTTGGTCGTCCTACGCCGGAGCTTCGAGAAAATCCCGCGCTTGTGAATAAGAATTCTACGTGTCTGTAATAGAGTTGATAATGCAATTTCAGTTTAGAATTCTCAAGAGTTTCGCAATGGATACAGTGTACGAGGTGAGTGAAACAGTTAATGCATTTTAATTGCATTTGACATTTCGTTATTGCTACTATTTATTGTGTTTAAAGTATTAGTAAAATCGTGAATTTAGAATATTTTCAAAATGTCAGTTATAGAAAAAAAAAACGAAAGAAAATTTTGAAAACGCAGTTAATGAAATTCATTGAAAGAATAAATTATGATAACTTAGATAATGCTGAAGCTGAATTAATCTTAGAAAAATGTAAAATCTTTAAGGAAGATTTTAAATCTCTATTTAGAGAAATGATGAAAAAATAGACACTTTCGTTGAGGAAGAACAGTCGATTTTAGAGAAAATTGAGGAGGTTCACTTAAAAATTATTCGTAAGTTAAAGATTTACAAGGTCGTAAATGCAAATGGCGACAAACCTGTCGTACCTGAATCAATCTCTGAAAGTTTAAAGTTACCGAAATTATCTTTACCCACATTTAGCGGAAATTTAACTGAATGGATAACATTTAAAGATTTATTTAACGCTAGTGTTCGCAACAATCCAATTTAACGCGAGTGTTCGCAACAAAATCTTTCTGGAGCTCAAAAATTACAATATTTAAAGAGTTCTTTGAAAAATGATGCTTATCGCATTATTCAGTCAATTCCCATAGCTGATCAAAATTTCAGTATTGCTTGGAATTTACTAGAAGAGAGATTTTCTAATAAGATAGAACAGATATTTGCTTTTATTAAAAGAATTCTTAACGTTTCACAAATACAAATGGAATCTGCATCATCGATATTAAGTTTAGTAGATAACGTAAACGAAATAACTCGCTCATTGGAAATATTAGATCAAAGGATAGATAATTTTAGTGATACTTTGTTGTTGTATATTATTTTGCAAAAACTTGACGTTTCGACAAAGTTGTGGTGGGAGCGTCAATTAAAAAAGGACGAAATACCAAAGTTGAATGACTTGATAGAATTTTTGAAGAATTACGCTAGAACATTACAGAACAGTAAACCTTTAATTAGTAAAAGGCATAAATCAGATAAACCAGTGTATAATAGGGTTACATCTCTGATTACTAATTCTACCTGCTTATTTTTTAAAGAAGATCATTTTTTATACAGGTGTTCTAATTTTTTAAATTTACCAATGCAAAACGAATAGAGTTTGTTAAGACTAATAAACTTTGTTTTAATTGCTTGTCTAATGTCCCTAAAGTTAAAATGTGTAAGAGTGCAAACACCTGCAAGCATTGTTTTAAGCATCATCATAGCATTTTGCATTTAGAAAATAATTTCAAACCAAAAAATGCATCTAGATTCCCTTCACCGGAAGCACAAGTGTTTGTTCCGAAATCGCAAATTAAACCAGAAAACACTTTGAGTGAGGTTTCTCCAACTGTTTGTGCAAACAACTATGAAAATAAACTTTTTGGTGCTCATGCTAATGGTAAAAGTAGTCATGTACTTTTGTGTACTGCTTTAATTAAGGTTCAAAACTCAAAAAATGAATTCATAAATTGTAGATGTTTACTAGCTAGATCCAGGTAGTGAAAAATCATTCATTCGTCGGAAAACAGCTATCAGTTTTAGGATTGGAGCATAAAGGATTCGAAGATATTAGTGTCATGCTTAGGTACTTTCAATACAACTACTACTGGAGAAGTTGACTTGTTGTTTACACCTCATTTTAATACTAATT